CACAAAGCTTATGGGCAACCAATATCTGATTTGAGTTAAGACTACTCCTTAACATAGAACTCATAATCAATGCTTCTTGGGTGGTCAAGAACCTGAGACTAGATAGACCAGGCACCTAGGAGAAAAAAAAAATACTGCTGTTCTGCTAAAAGAGCATAGCAATAAAATGATTCCTTGTGACATTCTACTTATAGATCAGTGTCTTGCTCAGCAATCATCAAAGACGCCCATTGGAGTAGATGAAAACAAATACAGAGACCCACAGCCAGACATTATGCAGAGTGAGAGACCTTGAAACAGTTATCCCCAAAAATGTTGTCTCTATTAAATCCCTCTCCTTGGGGCTCAGAGAACCCTGCAGAAGGGAGACAGAAAGATGTAGGAGCCAGAGGGGATGAAGCACTCTATAGAATCAAGGCCTTACAGACACAGGGATGGTGCAATATGAACTTAGACACAGAAGCAGCATGGAATCTTGTTTTATAGGATCAAATGGGATCCTAGAGCTGAAAGGAAAAATGGAAAAACACCGTTATCCTCAACATAGAAGCTATCTCAAATTGATAAATACTTGTAAATAAAAACTTAGGTTTCTCCAATGAAGTTTCACTGGGAAAACAAATCACTCTTAAGGGTATGTCCGATTCCCAGTAGAAGATGGCCAACAGAAAATTAACTCAATGGCCTCTTTGGAGGTTCTTTGTCACATAATTTTGTTAGGGAATGTCTTAGGGTTTCTATTGCTGTGAAGAGACACCAAGACCACCACAACAACTCTTATAAAGTAAAACATATAATGAAGGTGATTTGCTTATAGTTTCAGAAGTTCAGTCCATCATCATCATTGTGGGGAGCAAGATAGCATGCAGGAAGATATGGTGATGAAGAAGTACTGAGAGTCTTACATCTTGTAGGCAGCAGGAAGTTGACTGAGACATTGAGCGGTATCCTGAGCATAGGAAACCTCAAAGCCTGACACCACAGTAACGCACTTCCTCCAATAAAGCCACATGTCCTAATAGTGCCACTCCCTATGAGACTATGGGGGCCAATTACATTCAAACTACCACAGGGAGTATTTTGTTTGTTTGTTTGTTTTTTAATTGTACTTGTCCTTTGTGTGTATATCATGGCTTCTAGTTTTGTGTTTTTTATTTTTATTTATTTTTTAAATGGGTTTCCTGTGTGTGGGAAAGTGTGTGTCTATAAATATATATGTTTCTTGTACTTTTTCATTGGCTCTTTTTCTTGCTTGGTTGTCTTATTCTATTCTGATTTGTTTGTTTTTGTTTTATTTTATTTTATTATTTCTTAGATGGTTGTTTGTCTTCTAAGGAGAGACAGAAAGGCAGAGGGTCCAGATGGGAGGATGGGTGGGGAGGAACAGGGAGGAGTAGGAGGGAAGGAAAAAACTGTAATTAAAATATATTACATGAAAAAAAAATATATATAATATATACATATATAATATAAATATATATAATATATAAATATATATTTATATATAAATATATAATATATATATAATAAATATATAATATATATTACGTATAATACATATTATATTTGGTGTTTTGAGACAGGGTTTCTTTGTGTAGCTTTGGAGCCTATCCTGGCACTCACTCTGGAGACCAGGCCAGCCCTGAACTCACAGAGATCTGCCTGCCTCTGCTGGGATTAAAGGCGTGCACCACCAACGTCCGACAAGAAATATTTTTAATAAAAGAGAAAAGTTATGTCTTATTTTTTGAGATTTTAATATAATTACACCATTTCTCCTTTTCTTTCTTCAGTCCAAACCCTTCCATGTAACCTTCTTTGCTCTCTTTAAAATTCATGGCTTTGACAGCTGGGGAGCCTACATGGGACTGAACAAGACCTGCTGCATGTGGGTAACAGTTGTGTGCCTTGGACTGTTTATAGAATCCCTGGCAGTGGGTCCAGAACCTGTCCCTGGTGCATGAGCTGGCTCTTTGGAGCCCATTCCCTATGGTGAGATGCCTTGCTCAGCCCTAATTGGGGGAGGGTCTTGGTTCTGCCTCACCTTGATGTGCCAGGCTTTGTTGATTCTCTATGCCTTGCCCTTTCTGAAGTAGGGGAAGGCGAAGGTAGGAGTGGTTGGGAAGAAGGAACGGAGGGGGAACTGTGGTTGGTATGTAAAATTAATTGAAAATTTAAGAGTGCGCCGGGTGGTGGTGGCACACACCTTTAATCCCAGCACTCTGGAGGCAGAGGTAGGTGGATCTCTGTGAGTTCGAGACCAGCCTGATCTACAAGAGCTAGTTCCAGGTCAGCCTCCAAAACCACAGAGAAACCCTCTCTCGAAAAACCAATAATAATAATAATAATAATAATAATAATAATAATAATAATAATAAAAAATAAAATAAATGAAAGACAAAAAAGAAAAAAATCATGGCCTCTATTTTTCATTAATTGTTATCACATACATGCATGTACTTAAGTACAACCTGCTCATTGTGCACAATGTTTTTCTATTTGTGTGTTCAGGGCTGACCAGTTGATATTGACTAACCAACTGATGCTCTCTATAACTGGGGAAGTCTATTTCTCCTCTTCTCCATTTTCCTTAGATGTCTATAGTTCTTTGTGTGGGATGGAGTCCTCTATACAAATTCCATTCAAAGAGAATTGAATATACAGTTTCAGAGAGTTGGTATTAGTAATGTTTTCTTAATATTGAGTGTGCCAGGGAAAACAATTTTTGGAAGTTATAGACATAAAAATTGGAAAGAGGTTACACATGTAGCTTCCTCCAGTGCCCGAGACCCAGATGCTAATGTGGAGTTCTAAATATGAAATGTACAAATCTAGTAGTTGGATCCAAGGAATATATTTTGTGAGGTATGAGGTTAAGCAGAACCATCAACCAGACTACAGAGTTTAAACAGTAAATGAGTTTAGAGGAAATAAAATATTCCAAAACTATATTTATTAATATAATTATTGTTGGGAATCTCCAGCTTGGGCCCCATTCCAAACTCTGCCCTGATGTTTAGCTGGAAACTCCACTTTGGACGCCCCCCCCCCCTCGTCTCCAGACCCTGTCCGTAGAAAACCCATCAAGTGCTGGCTCCTCCTCCAGAGCTACTCAAGACCTTGTATGCAGGTTTTTTAAGACCCAGACCCTAGACCTGCCATGTGATTTCTCAGGATTTCTCTTTCTTCCCCCAAGAATCTCCAGAGTGTTGCTTTGCTCAGATTAAACCTAGTCTTACTAACATGGCCTGATCTGAATTATTGCATCACTGGAGAAACCCAGTACTAGGGATTTCAAAATACTTATCAATTATTAGAAAATAACCATTTAAAATGAATTATGTTAAATGTATGCATAGTACAATTATACATCAATGTATAAAGAAATGCACATTTTATTACAGAGAAAAGTCAGTTTATTATTCAGTGATAATTCACTCTAAATAAAAACAAGTGAATATATATTGAAGCTAGGGTGTCAATGAATCTCTTCTGTAGTTCACAGAAAATGACTACTGACATTTCCCCCTCTTTCCTATGTATTCAGCAATAAAATCAATGTTATTTCTTTGATCTTTACCTATTGAAAGAATACTAAGTATCTCATCTTTATTTTACATCTTATTTTTAAAATAAGTGATTAAATAAATGCTAATATTAAAATGTACTGGTCTCTCTTCTCTGATTTTGGGGAGTGTGTGTTCATGTCTTTTGCACATAAATTAAATGGATACATGGTGTCAAAAGTCATGAAACCTATTTATATCCAAATAGATCAGTTTACTAACGGTATTTAAAACCAATAGGATGGTGACCAAATGACACCTGGAGCAATCTTTCTGTGACTCATCAAATCTTGAGGTCAATCAGACATGTGTATCACACAGTGTGTATCTAGCTCATGTACACTTTTTCTCTCTCAAGACACCTCCAAAATGCAATCAGAGTCTACCGGTTAGGAACACTGACTATCCAGAGAACTCCTGCCTCCCTGTAATTGCTCCTTTATGACCATGGGGTTCCTTTTGGCAGAAGTTTTCTTGTTATTTAAAAGACCATGCAACATTTTATCTACTTTCTGTGGCAGGAATTTTCTTGCTATTTAAAAGAACATGCAGTATTTTATTGACCTTCTGGCATTGTCTGTTAAGAACTAGATTAAAAATTGGTCATCTGATAATTTCAGGAGGGTATTGATTGTAATTATGTGAAGAAATTCTTTAATATTACTGAAGCAATTTCACTTTCCTTAAAACATTAAAAATTTAAAGTATCTACCCAACAACTAAGGAGAACATGTAGTTGAATTTTAAAATACATTCTAAGCTTATTTGAATTATTTTCAAATGTCTATCTTAATTTAACGCGGAAAATAAGTAAGTCTGAAATCTTCTGCTGAATGTGTAACAAGGAAATAATTTATCATCCACAGCAGGAGATTTGCTATACTGTTGAGGGTAGATATAAAATTAGATTAGTGAACAAATGAAGAAGAGCTGAGGAAGTAGAAGTGATAGGGACTTCTCCGATGGCCCTTCTTCCTCTACTAGAGCCATATTAGTTACTGTTTGCAGCAATGAAAGTGTTTGACATTAACAACATAAGGAGGAAGACTCTGCTTTGGCTCAGGGTTTCAGAGGGTCTGGTCCATGGCCAGTTGGTCCATGTTAGGCAGAACAGTTGTAGGGGGGAAAGTGTGTGGCAGAGGCTCTTCCTCTTGGTCAATAGGAAGTAGAGAGAAAGATAAGAAGAGGAGGTACTCTCCATGAGCTACTATCACGATCTAGAACCTCTAGCTGGATCCCACCTTCTGAAGTTTCCAGAGCTTCTTTACTATTTGAGTAGCAAGCCTTCAAAACACGAGGCAGTGGGGACATTTCATACATAGAGCATAGCAACTCTGAGCTCATGGCAAACTGTCTAGTGATAGAGGTAAACATCAAACTACAGCAGCCTCGCACATTTCAACGTTTATTCAAATAAATTTTACCTTTGTGAATTAGCACAGACATGTTCACAAATCTGAATAGTAATGTTGCATAGTCCATGTACTTATTCATTTTGTGTTTGCTAGTGACTCAGAGCGTTTTGTTTCCCGTTTGACTTCTTAGAGTTGAAGCATCTTTCTATCATTCCTTACAACTCTGACTGGATAAGTCTTAGTGCTTTCTTCATGTTATCTACCACTGCAATAGGAGGAAACACATGTTGTGCCCTTAGTAAATGAAAGTAGTAGATGTTATCATCTAAATGGTAATATAGAACATTGGATTGTTTAATTTTTATACTAGTTGGCTCTTTAACATACAATATTATAAGCAAAAGGAATATTTGTAAATTCAGGGATTACATCAATCAGAGGTGGTTCATCAGATTCATTTACAATCAGCATTTCTATTCAGGGAGCCTTGAGAGGGTTTTCTAATTAGTTAGTTATTGAATGTATACAGTATTTCTACATCTGAGACCAATACCATCTTCTTAAATGTGGCTAATAGCGACTGTTATTAAAAATGTTTAAAGTCCTAAATAAATTTGTACCTCTTTACTTATAGGCATTTAAGACAGGCAAAATTGTCATGATTGTCCTCTGAGAACAGCACATGGGGTCTTTGACACCAGGAGATGGAATTATCTCTGCTAAAGTTTGTGTCACTTTAATGTCTGCTAAGTTCTTATTGATGTCATAATTCAGTGATCATTGGAAGTTACAGGCAACCCTGCTGAAACGAAGATTCTGAGTCCTCTGAGAAGGTTTTTTGGTGGGGGCAGGGAGCTGTGAGTCTGCATTTTAGATACCATGCCCAGCACCAGAGATTGGAATCATGGACAGCACTGTTGTGATTTATGAATACTCACACAAGGGTAAGTCCTGAGGTTCGTATGTGTACAGTCTGTTAGAGTATCTTCCAGTTATATCAGTCCTGACAGTCAAAGAAGGGTCTGTTAAAAAGCAACCCAAAACAAAGTCACTCAAACAGCGATTAACATGGTCTTAACATTGTTCGTTCTCCCACTCTAAAACCAAGGTCAGGCAAGTTTATTAGCAAAGTTAGTTCTCATGTGAATCCATGGCTCTCTTTTAATCTCTCTTGGGGTCTTGTTCTGAAAGTTGATTTAACAGCACAAATTGCTTATAAATATTAAAATCTGTAAGTAATATTGTGAATTTTGGCTAGAGATCTAAGAAGAACACAATACTATTGATTGGGTGAGAAATGACTCCCCCCCCCTTTAAATAGAATACTGCTTACGTTAGAGCCTCAACGCAAATCAAATGAAAGCAAGAATGCTGAGATTCCTGCTAGTTTTGCAAACCTGATAAATGAAGATGCACACATACCAACAAACATGATCCTTGGCACATACTGCCCATCAGGTGACAAGTTCTTGTCCGTGGTCTCATGCTAGAAGAAGATGAAATAAATGAACAATATTGGACTGCATAGCATTCTTTATGGAAACTAAATTTTCAATAAGTTATACATTAGGGCCTTTTAAAATTCTGTAGTAACTAATTCTTGACCATGCATGCTTTCTGGAAAAAAAAGAGTTAAAAATTTCTATGAAGTTCCAACATTAAAAAAACACTGTTGAGTTCATGTACCATGATATTCAGCATGATAAAGCCATTCTGAGCCATTTCTTGTATTTCTTCATTTTTGGAAAATTCCTGTTTTAGTGCTGTGAGGGAGAAAAATGTCAGTTAGCCAGTGTGTTTTTTATCATGTCCATCAATGACATGGGTGCAAATGGTTTGTTGTCCTTTACCACTTCCCTCCCTGGGAACCTATGAGCTAGAGTATGTCCATGGAGATGTCAAGGAACACTGACATTAATGAATGAAGTTTTATAATTTAAATTGCTCAGTAACTCATTGGTTAGAACAATTTCTGTCAGCAAGTTTTCCTAGTCACTTTGATTCTTTTAAAAAGTGTCACATTCCCAAGAGCACATTGTAGTTTCACATTCCACAAATACGAACAATCAGTGTAATCTTTTTTTTTTTTTCCAAGACAGGGTTTCCCTGTATCTTTGGAGCCTGTCTTGGAGCTCACTTGTAGACCAGTCTGGCCTTGAACTCACAGAGATCCATCTGTCTCTGCCTCCCAAGTGCTGGTATTAAAGGCGTGCACCACCACTACCTGGCAATCATTGTAATCTGTTGTCTTCACTGTGTCTCACTACTTAGGCCAGGTTTACCTTTGACTCACCATTCTTCTACTGCAATTACCAGAGGGCACCCCTAGATGGCTCTCATGTGGTCTTTAAGCATCTTGGTCAAATGGTGGTAGTCTGGGAATTACATTTCTAAAATGGGATTTGCCTGCGTGCCTTCTGAACAGTTCTCACAAGCTCACTTCTATCTCATGTTGGATATACAGTAAAATCCCCATAGACAAAAATTACCTTGACAGTATTGACAGTTTTCCAGGTGGTGAATAACCATCAATGGCTTGTTACTAGACAGAAAAAGCATAGAGTGAAGTTAAGAGATAAATGTTGAATAAAATTATAAAATAGAATTAGATTTAAGTTGTTGGTACTATGTACAATACTTAAATAAAAATCTCAGACTTGCACTTACAATGAAGCCTATATTAGGTAGTGTCACCCAGTATGTGGCCCCAGAACTCATCAAGTACAGTATTATAAACATGAGCTCACATAACATACTGAGTCAGAATTTGTGTGGGGTACAGGTACCATAGCTTAGAGTAGTAGGTGACACTTAGGTCCAATGTAGCATGTGTAGATAATTTGAGAATAATGCTATCTCCAGGCTCAAGGGATGCTAAAAACAAAATTATTTCTAATGAAAGCATGATATGTGATTTGAGAAGAGTCAATTTAAAATGTTCTTGGTTTATCTTTTAAGTTTTTAAAAAGTAGTCCTATTTGACCAGTTCCGTGTCTTTCCATTCTTGTGTTGACCTAAATTTACAATAATTCAATGAGAGTCCTCTACTAACACCTTTTTTCAGGGTCATTTTGATTTTGACTCTAAACTAGTTGGTTATACTAACTAACTTATTCCCTAACTCTAGTCAAAGAGCAAAGAGACAACAGTAATTACAGAAGGGATAAAATGAGTATGATGTAGACATTTGCACGTTTTAGGTTTCATCATTTCCCAAAAGGTTCTTATGGTGGAAGCAGGGCCCCAGTGGGACGATGACACGGTGGAAAATTTCAGGGTAGGAAGGTGGCTAATGGCTCTGTAGATAATAACAAAGGTAAATAATGGCTCTGTCCTCAAGACTATGTTAATGTATCTCCTGGGACTGGACTACTTCCCACAAGAATGCATTGCTGTGAGGCTGGAATTTTTTAATCCTCTTTGCATACAGTCATATCCTGTGATGCCATCTGCCATGAGGCCTCTTCAGAGCCAGGCAGACACTGATGTCCATGCTCTTGAATTTCTGGAGCTATTACCTCTTTGATTTACAAATTACCCAGCCTGATATATTTGATTATAGCAACACAAAATTGACTAAGGCAGATTATAGGATAATTTTTCAAATATGGCTTTGATAATAAGCTAATCACGGGCATCAAAAGAGAGTGATTTTAGGACATATTTATTCAACAAAAATTTTATGTATTAGTTGATTAATTAATGTGGACATGCTAGGCAAGCACTCTACTAGTTGGCTGCATTCCCAAGCCAGCATAAATCTTTTCAAAAGCAATTACAAAATGTAATTACATAAATAATCTATGTTGTATCCAGCATTTTTTTTTTTTAGTCTCAACAAATGTTAAACACAAACTTTGAATGATTAATTTTACTTCTCAAACTTGGATTAGAAGTACATTTTGGATAAGATCCTTCCAACTTACCTTTAAGATTTGTGGGCTAATTAGAAAACTGCCATTCACCAGCATTGCTATTGAGTTATTACAGATTGAGCTATGATGAATGAAATGTCATACCCACTTCTTACCAGCTGTGAGTCAAGTCTAAAGGTATTCAATGAGGCTTACACAGGCAGGTCAAGCCAGAGTCAGCCCTCCTGAGCCCAAGATGTTTAATGATACAATCACAGGCAGGTCTATATTCAGCCTTGTATGCATCAGCCGAGTAAGTTTTCTATTAGATAGCTTTTCTGACCATCGCCAATGCGGGTAGGCATCTTGAGGCAGAGCAGGCAGGGGCATGGGCCACTCTGCTTTTCTGACTGGCTGCCACTTCTTCCCAGTTTCTACAAGGCATCTTGAAGTGGCGGCTGTGCTTGAGGGTGATTGGAGGAAGTCTGGGGAAATCAACTCCAGCATCAGAAGAATCACTCTTAACAGTTTGCAAATGAGCTGTTACTCCATTTAAAGAAAAGCAGAGAGCCTATGGCAGAAACTGAAGTAGCTACAGCCTAAAACAAGTTTTTGTTTTGTTGTGTTTCTTCGGTAGAAGAGAGTAAATATCTGAGGGGCTGTGGCCACATTTTCATTTGCATACTTAACTCCACCACTGTCATGTAGAAGTGGTTAAAAGCAGTATTTGTGTTTCAGCAAAACATTTGTGAACACTAAAATGTGGGATTAGTGTCATTTTCACATTACAAAATACTATATCTTTATTTTCCCCAAATTTTAAAATTCTTAGTTCATATACTGTATATGAATCTGTGATCCCTGAGCTAAAACCTTATGAAATGGCGAGTTCAACTGTGAGAGGCCTGGGGGAGGGAGAGAAAGGGATAGAGGGAGGGAGGGAGAGAGAGAGAGAGAGAGAGAGAGAGAGAGAGAGAGAGAGAGAACATTTGGGACTCTAAAATCAGAGGCTGCCTGGGGCCCCACTACTTATCATCATTTGGTAGACTGCCTTTTCAATTCGTGCATTTTTCCCTTTTAAAATCAATTTTAAATTCATGTGACTTAAAACTTGAAAAGTAGAAGTTCCTCCTCTCAAATATGTCTTCCATAAGTAAGTAGTGGTATCATTTCATCTTCCAGAGGTTTGGGGCCAATTTCCTAAATGTGGGTGTGTCTTGTTTACAACCATAGATTTGTTTACAACCCTGTGTTCATAAGTATGAGTGTGTTCCTAAAAAACACAAGATGGGTACAGCCAAGACAATTTAGGGAGACCTCTCTGAAGTTAAAAAACAAAAATAAGACTGCAAACATGTATCTGCATATTTTCAATCTAACTTATGTCTTAGATCTTATTCTGTAGTTTTGAAAAAATATAGTATTCCACTAAATATGCTTGAACTTCCCTAATTAATCCCCTTGAAATGGATATTTAAATCATTTCCAACCTCCCATTTACATTTGAATAAGCACTTATCTGATGTACAGGCCTTTGTTATTTGTGTATGATTTTGCATCTGTGTGTGCATATTTGTGAATAAATTTCCAGAAGCAGATTTTTGTGTACCAAAGAATATGTGCATTCATATTGCTGGCTTATTCTCCATTGAAGATGTACCAATTCACGTTCTCTTTTGCAGGAAACACCTTGTGCCTCTCTTAAAATTCATCAGCAGTTTTAAATTATTTTGCCCAATGTGGAAAAAGAAAAGAGATTACTGCCATTTAGCTTCCTACAAAATAGTTCTCATATTTTCCCGTTGTGTATTATTTGTTCTGAACTATTGTATTCTTCACTCATTTGTTTGTGTTGACTTGAGATTTCTTTTTTCATTTTAAAGAGGACTTCATGTTAGAGTCCCTCCCTTTCCTCCCTTCCCCCTCCTTGGCCTTTGTCTTTCTCCATTGCATATGGCCATGCAGGAAAGCCAGATAGTCAGAAATACTGGTTTCTTTTGTTTACTTACCTGAAATCTTTTATGAGCTCTAATAGCCCCTGGGGTTTTCTCTGTATACAATCATTTCCTGTGCATATGGGAATGATTTAGTTTATACCCTTCTCATTTGATGCCTTTTATGTTTTTTATCTTGCTTAGTTTGGTTGCTCAGGACATCCAGAGATACTTAGAGAAAAACTTTCAACTCATCTATTGGGCTTGTGACGTAAGGGCATAAGGTTCTTGTGCTGAGGGCCAGCAATTCTAGAACTAGTTTGCTGTGAGTGTTAAGTTCTGTCAGATGCTTATCAGTATCTCTTGAGAGAGATCATGTGATTCTTCATTGTGTTAATACGGGATATCATGCTTATTAGCATATATTGATTGATCCTACATTCTAGAGTTAAAACCTATCCAACAATAGCTACTGATATTTTTAATGTGCTGTGGGATTCTATTCGCTAGAATCTTGTTAAGAATTTTTCAATTTGTGTTCATCAAGGATATCTTAGTCATTGTTCTATTGCTGTGAAGAGACACCATAGCCATGACAACTCTTTTAAATTAAAGCATCTAAGTGGGGCTGGCTTACAGATTAGGAGGTTTAGTCCATTATCATCATGGTGGGAAGCAGGGCAGCATGCAGGCAGACAAGAGTTGGAGAGGTAACTGAGAGTTCTACATCTGAATCCATAGGCTTGGCTTGATCATTAAAACCTCAAAGCCCACTGCCCATGACAGGCTTCCTTCAACAAGGTCATATGTCCTAATCCTTTCAAATAGTGCCACTCCATATGAGTCTATGAGGTCATTTTTATTCAAACCTCCAAAAGGGTATGACCTATTGTTTCTTTTTCTTTTTTTCTTTTCCTTTCTTGTAGTACCTGCCTGACTTTGTTATCAGGGTATTTCAAGCCTTATTAACAAAATTTAAATATATCATTTTCTTTCCATTTTTTAGATGAATTTGAGGAGGATTAATATTAATTCTCTAGTAGTTTACTAGGCAGGGAGTGTTAGCACAGAGCTGTACACCAGTGTATGGGGTGCTTAAGGCAGAAGCACAGCTTGCTGTTTCAAAAACAAACAAAAAATTAGAACCATCAGATATTGGGATTTGCTTTGGTGGAAGGCTTTTAAAATTATGAATACAATTTCTTTACTGGTCTGTTCAAATTTTCTATTCATGATTAAATCTTTATGGTTTTATGTATATGGGAAGTATGGGAATTTATGTTTCTGCTGGAATATTTAATTTATTAGCTTAATAGTTATTCAAAATAGTCTCTGATGACCATTTCTGTGATAACATTTTATTTGGTTGGTTGTGTTTTCTTCATTTATTTTTACTTTTATTTATGTGTATGTGTATTTGCATGTGTGTGTGTGTGTGTACGTGGTGTGTGTGTGTGTGTGTGTGTGTGTGTGTGTGTGTGTGTGTATGTGCAGGTACTGAGGGAGGCCACAAGCAACTGCTGGATCCCTTAGATCTGTGATACCATTTGTCATTTCTCCCTTTCATTCTGATTTTATTAGAATCCCTTCTTTTTCTTTGCTCATGTATTTACTACGATATTGGTTTTATCTCTTGTAAAAACTAAAAACCCAGCTTTTCTTGGTATGTTCCTGTCCATTGTATTCTTGAGTACTCATTTGCTTGTATTTGCTTTGGTTTTATTATGTCCTGCCTAATACTAATTTTGACCTTAGTTTCCTTCTTTGGGAGGGGGGATGAAGGGTGTCACAATATTAGATTATTTGGAATTTTCTTTTTTTTAAACAAAAAAGATAAAGATATTTATTCAGAAATCCCTCCCAAAGAAATTTCCCTCTTTGAATTGTTTCTAGTACATTGCAGAAAGTTTTAGTATATTGACCTTCCACTTTGGTTTGCCTCAAAATATTAAAAAACTTCCATTTTAATATTCTCTTTGACCCATTTGATGCACAATTCTGCGTGTGTGATATAGGTATGTGGTGCATGCACATGGGGGTTATGTGTGGTATAGGTATGTGGTGCAAGCACATGGCTGTTGTGTGTGGTGTGTATACAGGGTGCATGCACATGGGTGTTGTGTGTGGTGTGTGTACAGGGTGCATGCACATGGGTGTTGTGTGTGGTGTGTGTACAGGGTACATGCACATGGGTGTTGTGTATGGTGTGTGTACAGGGTATATGCACATGGGTGTTGTGTGTGGTGTGTGTACAGGGTATATGCACATGGGTGTTGTGTGTCGTGTGTGTATGGTGCATGCACATGGGTGTTGTGTATAGTGTGTGTACAGGGTACATGCACATGAGTGTCGTTTGTGGTGTGTTTATGTGGCATGTACACCTGAGTGTGTGTGTGCAAACACCCATTCGGTGCATGAAGAGGCCAGAGCAGCATGTCACTGTCATCCTCCATCAAAGCCTTACCTCATAATCATGAGGCAGGGTTTTTCCCTGAGCTGGAACTGTGCCATTCATCTAGAAGGGCTGCCCTGTGAGCTCCTGGGATGCACCTGTCTCCACAAAGTCTCATGGATTTCAGACTAGCTTGCTTGAACTTGCTACATAGCTAGGGATGACCTTGAACTTCTGATCCTCTTGCTCTTAGCTCCAGAGTCCTGGCATTATAGGTGTGTACTGTCACACTCATTTTATGTAACAATGAGGATTACCTTGGGGCTTTTGCCTGGTCTGCTAAAACTCTACCAGCTGGGCTGCACCACCAGCCCTAAATATTGACTTCTGTAACAGATGAATTCTTAGTCTTTTGTCTTCCTAGAATTTCCAGATGGAATCTTACCCTATCTGGGAAGATGCTTTATATGTTCTGAGGCTATAATTTGTTCATATGTTTTTTTCTTACACTCATATTTGGAAATGAGATTTTTCTCTAATATTTATTGTTTTGAGAACATTTAATTCAATTTTAATTTAATTTTCTGTGTTTTAACTTTAATGGGACATTACTATTCATCAGATATTTGATAAATTCTCCAGGAGATTTAGTAGATCTTTTTTTTTTTATTAGTTCAAATTAGGAACAAGCTTGCTTCACATGTAGGCCCGGCCCAGGATGAAGTGGTGGACTTTGGGGAGCCCCCATCGAGGGCCCCCACCCTGCCTGGGGAGTGGAGGCGGAGAAGGGATTTAGTAGATCTTTAAGGATAAAATGATGGAACATTTGGTCATCGAGTCTGGACCAGTTCCTGACACACAGCAGATCATGGTCAACTAGTAGTTGGCTGATTAAATATAACTATGAGTGTAAAATAAAGTTCCTCAAGATGCCTGGCTGACCAGACTGGCTGGAGGACTGTGCCTGTGAATGGCTTTCCTAGTAAGCTTAAGTAGTGCCTAGTGAGTGACACCATCTTATTCATACAGCTTACATTTAAAAGTTTGACTGTGTAATAAAGAAATTCATTGGGAGTTATTTAGAGCTTCTACAACTAAAAAATACCATTTGTTATGGTTTACACGTGAAATGTTCCCTCCCTGTAGGCTTGTTTGTTTGAATAATTGCTCCCCAGATGGTGGTGTGGTTTTGTGAAGCTTCGGAACCTTTGGAAGGTGGAGACAATGGGGGCTGGTGGGCAGTCCTTATAGGTTATAGGTGGCCTTTTTCTGGCCCACTCTCTGTTTCCTGACTGCCAGTGTGATGTCACCTGCTGCCTCTGCTGCCATGCCTTCCTCAGGATAATTCATTTTGTCCCTGAATCCTGACTCAGGATAAATCCTTTTCCTTTAAATTGCTCTGGTCAGGGGTCTGGTTACAGCGGTGAGAAGAGTAGCTAAAACGCTACTATAATAGCAACTGTGACATCACACAACAGAGCAAGAACTGTTTCATTCTCTCAGAAGCTAACACAACTGTTTTTGGTTCTTCCATGAGGCATAAGAAATGGTGTGTTAACCGTAACTGAGAGGGGTTTTACCTTTTGCGAGCATGAAAGAGACCTTCTTCATAAGTTTGTACCCAAGTGATGTCATCTCCCCATCCTGAAGAAGAGAGAAATTGATGCATTATTCAAGGCCAAAGGTCTCTCTGTCTGATGAGCAGATGTCAATCTACAGACATATGACAGCTCCAAAGCTGTTGCCTGACATCCAGTGTAAAAGATAGTACATTATATCTGGATACAAAGAAGGGGTGCCCTATCAGACTGTACTCTGGGGAATTTGGGAGTGTGCATCAAAACTTGACCCATTCATCAGTGCTGGATGATGGACAATGGTAGCTGAGAAGACATCTCTGGTCATGCAAAAGCTCTACCTTTCAGAATATATGAGAAATAGCAGTTATCAGCATACTTCTAAAAAACAGCCAAGAGTCCTTCTGACTATACTACAACTATATTACAACCTTTGTATCTTGAGTACCAAAGGATGCTGACTGCTTCTATGACAGTGCACACTGAGGAAAAGGAGTTCCAAATTCTACTTTTTTACTTGAAAAACATTGCAGAGAATTTCATGTTTGAACACACACACACACACACACACACACACACACACGAAACATTTATGGAGTGGAAAGGAGGGAAAGAGAAAGCTGTGATTACAGATACTCCACTGGTCTTGAAAAGAAAACAACAGCAGTTGGGAATTTGTGCTAGAGATTGAAGAATAAAGCACACAAGAAATAGAAGGTACAGAGCATACAGGAATATTGTAAGAGTGTTTAAGACTTGACCCAGGGATAGATGAGAAAGACTGAATTTTCTTTTTTTTTAATTTTTAAAATTTAAATTAGAAGCTTGCTTCACATGTCAATCCCAGTTCCTTCTCCCTCCCTTCCTCCTACCACCAACCCTCCCAACTCCCCTCTCCATCCCCCCTCTGCTCCCCAGGGAGGGTGAGGCCCTCCATGGGAGATTTCCAAAGTCTGGAGAAAGACTGAATTTTCATGAAAGAAATATTTGGAGTCTAGTTAAGTTCAAGTTTTCCTATGTCCAAATGTCAGCCTGCTGTGTGTAGATTTGATACCACAGGTATGTAACAGCTGTAATCAAGGGCAGAATCATGAAGTAAGATAAACATGATTCTGTGTTTCTTCTTGTTTCCTTTATTGGTTCTTTGGTAATAACTTTATTGAGATGTTATTCACAAATGATTCAATTCACTCATAGAAAGTGCACATTCTTTGTAGTATATTCCCAGAGTTACAAGGCCAAAACTACAATCAATTTTAGAATGTTCTCACCATCTCAAAGCAAATAGGTTTTTTAAAACTAATTACATTTATTTATCCATTTATTTGCATGTGGGGGATAATGTGCCTTAGCCCAAATGTGGAGCTCAGAGGACAACTCAAGGATGTGGGCAGCCTTTAATTACTTTTCTTTCTTTGCTTGTATTTGGTTTTAGGATTTATATTTAAATTTTTTTGTGTGGGTGTTTTGCTTGCATGTATGTATATACACTACATTTGTGGCTGGTAATCACGGAGGTCAGAATTGGATTCCAAGGAACTGAAGTTATAGAGGATATGAACTACCCTGTGGGTGCTGAGACTTGAGTCCAGGTCCCCTGGAAGAGCAGCCAATGCTCTTAACTGCAGAGCCATAATATCTCTAGCTCCTTCCATCTGTTGTAAATGTCACTCAAATTCTAGAGCTTTAGCAATGGAAACATTGCAGTTCTCATTTCCCACTCAATTTAATTCCACAGATACTAATAAGTCATCTGTTTTGTTTTAATTCACCAATCCATGGGAATAGAAGGAACAATAATATAACTTCCCAAATACCCATAGTTCTTCAGAGGAGCATGTTTCCAACAGTCTAGGTTGTAATCACCATGGGCCAAATGGACAGAATTTAAATTTTCCTCCAGGTCTAGATTCATAGCTACATTTTTGTATCTAGCTTTGGCTATGCCTTTTGGTTTTCTGTGATTTTATTCATTCATCAGCTATGCATTTATTGAGTATCTGCTGAATGCTAGTCATTGGACCAGGTCCTAGGTGTTCTTTTGTTAAACGGACATAGGAAATGTTGGTCCCCATATGTTTGTGTCTGTTTTAATCTTATTCATTTTCCTCACTATCTTCTGTTTTTGTCTCACTCATTTTTGCCATGAACTGTTTGGCCCCATCTCTGCTGCTCTGTGTACAAGGTACTCAGACTGGCCCCATCTCTGCTGCTCTGTGCATATGATACTCAGACTGTCTCTGCTGCTCTGTACACAGGTACTCAGAATCCTTTCACCGGCTCCTGCCTTTCCCCCTCCTTTTCACAGTCATTTCTAACATAGAAACATGTAGGGAGTCGTTCCTGCTTTCTCCATTACAATGATGGTGCCTGAAGGCACAGAATGTAAATTATTTCACAGGCGCTGGGTAATTTCCATTCCTTTGATCTCTGCCTATCCCGTGGCTCATTTGGCCTGAGGAGCTAAAGCCATTCATAGGGTAACACATCCCAGGCGGGCTGCCAGCCTTTATTAAGGAATGGGATTCTCGGAGACCCCTCTAACGGGGCGGATTCAGAACTGCAGGGTGGTAAATTCGGAGAGGTATGTCTTTTCTGGACTTTGGCTTGGGAATGTTGCTATTTTGGGAGGTTAGTGTAGAGGCTTCTGTGCTTTTACTAGGAGCCATTTTGACCTTTCTCACTGTTGTAGCAATCTTAAAGAAGTCCAGATGTCCCGCGCTATGGCCTCGCCGGCAAGAATCACACAGGACACTCGGATCCTTCTGCAGGAAAGCTTTAATGCATCTTGAGAGGAGAGCATAAGCTTACCAGAGCGGAGACTCCTGCCCAAGAATCCCATTCCTTAATAAAGGCTGGCAGCAGTCGCCTGGGACGTGTTACCCTATGAATGGCTTCAGCTCCTCAGGCCAAATGAGCCACGGGATAGGCAGAGATCAAAGGAATGGAAATTACCCAGCGCCTGTGAAATAATTTACATTCGGTGCCTTCAGGCACCATCATTGTAATGGAGAATGCAGGAACGGCTCCCTACAGAAACAGACAGCCAAATATAAGCCAGCTCTCAATGCAGTGACTCACAGCATTAGTAATAATTTTCTCTATTCAAACAGTGTCTCAATAACTGAAGTTGTAGAATCAAGCTGTTCAAAGTTAAGACAAATGTACTCCAATTCATTTTCATAAAATTTGCCAAAAAGGAGGCCAGAAAGGTGGCATGGCAGTACAGGCTGTAAGTATTATGGCAGATTGGATGTACAGGGATTCTGGCACTTGGGAGCCAAAGAATACTGAGTGTCACAGTTCAGGTGGGGAAGTATTCTGACAATCGGGAGCCAAGGGATACCTCAGGTCACAGAAGCACAGCAGCTTATAATCCTGCTCCAGGGAAATTCTTCCCTAGTGTATCATCTCTGCTCCTGCAGGGGAGGGTTTCCCCAGAGAACTTGTTACAGTTCAGTTCAGCTCACTCAGCTCTGCTCTGGCTCTGGCTAAGAGTTGTTACTTCTCTCCTCTGGTGAAGGAATGTCTTACCCAAACCTCATTCAAGAGATTTATTAGGAGGGACGTATCCAGGAGAGGTGCTGGCAGAGGACAGCCAGCCAGCCAGCCACGAGCTGAACAGGAACAGGGTTTGTATAGGGCTTCTAAGGGGTGGAGTTTTCCCAGGAAGATTTCCTGGGTGGGGATTGGTCAGATTTCAATCCCTGACCTCAGATTGGCTAAATGATTCCCTGCTCAGGGATTAGTTGGTTTTCTGCACATGTTCAGGGCCAGATCTGGCTCTGGTTTCGGGGCCAAAGTGTGCTTCTTTTACTCATCCTTTGTAGCTTTTTGGCTCTAATTTTAGGACCAGGGAATATTTCTTTCACTGGCTCTGATTCCAGGGACAAAGTGTGTTTCTTTGGCACTGGTTTCAGTGTCAGGGGGCATTTCTTTGGTTCTGGTTGCAGGGCCAAAGTATGTTTCTTTGGCTGGCCCTTTTCCCCTACACAGGGGATGACATCAAACTCCAGTTGATGACTGGAGTTTGGTCCCTGGAACTCAAATAGTGGAAGGAGAGAATATTCAGCAAGTTCAGCTAGTTGTCTTCTGACCTTGACACAAGGGTAATAAACCTTTGCTGCAGATTTTTCGATCAGCATCTAAATGGGCTGCCTGGAATATCTTCTACCACAGTCATAGCGATGCCACTGAGCTCCACTGTGGACCAGCTTGAAGAGCAATGAGTAATTTAGTCTTGGGTTGTTTAATTTCACTAAGCTACTTATTTTTATAACTGTTTGTTTGTGTGGAGAGCTATGTGATAAATTTTATCCAGGGAAATGATTTTACCCTTTATTTATTTTCAATATATATTGCCTTTCTAGACATATAGATTGTGGTTGCTAGGCTAAAGTTGAATTACTTCACTTAGGTAAACAATATGGGCACACAGCTGGCACTCTATAGATCTGAAGAAACAAATGGCCTCGAAGCCACCTGCGGGGGATTGTCACTGTACACTCTGCTTAGAGCAGCAGTCTAAAGAGCAGACAAGCACTGCGTGGCCATTCTGATTGTTTGAATCAATTGTGTGGGGACAAATGATTCTCAGTATTTTTCTCCATGGAAATAAAAAAAAAAAACTAATTTTGAGGACTGTTTCTTTATTATTCTTTTGGATATGAAGATTTATTTGTTTCTTAAACCAAAGTAAAACTGTAAGTATAAGAAAATAGAAGATTTTCTGAAGCTGAAGCAAAAGGCAAATGTCTAAATAGTTAATCAAAGCTATAGATACCAAGTCAGTTCTTTATGTCTGCAAAGGATGCAGCAAATTGTGGCTATGGAGCCAGGCACAGTGGTGCACACCTGTAATCCCAATGCTTGGGAGACAGAGGCAGGCAGAGCTTTATGAGGTTTAGGCGAGCCTGGTCTACATAACAAGTTCCAAGCCAGCCAAGTCTACATGGTAAGGCTTTGTTTTGAAAACAAAGCAAGCAAACCCCAAACCCAAGGACTGTTATTTATTTGAAATTTGGGTTTTTACTGTCTAAAATAGATTATCCCCATTTATAACCATCTGTTTTAAAGTCACACATAACAAATATCTAGTTTTTTGCTTATCATCAAACTATAAATGAATATACTAGGTATTTTGAGAACAGTTGAAATGACTGAGTTTTGAAACTCCAGTGAGATTACCGTACCTCTTGAGAGTGTCTGAGGAGGTCTCTTTTCTTTTTTGATAGCAATGGCAAGGTTGGAAGAAACTGTAATCATCAAGAGGCAGAGGGCCAAAGTGGAATGGAGCATCGTGTCTTCTAGAAAGTCACTCAGAGGCAGCTAGATGGCAGAAAATAATTTTCAGAATTTGGTCATTTCCAACAGTTTGCTATTAAAAGATATTTGGATAAACCCCATGCCAACCAGTTCTCTTGATTTCACATTATAAAATCTTTTGGGATTGTTTTTTTAAAGCATTTAAGAACATTGAGCCATCTTAGTAGATACTAAGTTTGTGAAGTTCTGGATATCGTGGCACAGAATGACATTCAAGAGCAGGTTGAGGGCACCCAGCTGGCCCTGAGGTCACTGTGGTGTGGGTAGCTTCCCAGTGAAACTCAAAACATGATCCTGTTCATTAATCACCTTCACACTGCAGCATGCAAGGCAAAGCTGACTCTTGGCACGCACAAGTGCTCTTTGTCTTTTCATCTTTCTGGGCTGAATACCTGAAAACATCCCCTTAACTCTACAGCAAAGTGAGCTCACTGCTGCAGCTCTGGATAGGAAGCAAAGCAGAACTCGGATGAGCCTTGCTTCTTTCTCAGTGCTCTGTCGTCACATAACTTCCCCGGGCTTCCCAACAGTTGGCCTTGCCCATCAGTTTGCAGTGCTTCCCATTAAAAACTGCTGTGTACCGTCACATTGCTAAAAGTAAACATTTGAAGAACAGAGTGGAAGGAAATGTACAGATATTCTTCATGTTTGATTCAAATTTCCTAAAACATTTTTGCTGCTGACATGTGTTATTTGGCAGTGAATTCCACCATAATAATGAAATTTCCTAGCCCAAATTTAATAATTGGTTATTAAATTTGATTATGTTTGAGTTGACTATATTTAGCTCCACTAAGAATTGTGGGAAATGGAAAGACTAGTAAGACACAATAATTTGGTCTCACGAAACACCTGGTGATTATAACAGTTAGTATAAAAATGGCATTTGAGATCTCGGAGGACACAGCTCAGTGGAGGTTTATAGAGCCTAGTTTCTCTAGATGCTTTCCTGTCCCTCTCTTGGCAGTATGATCTCATTCCCAGTGATGTCTCTTCTGTCCCATCTCTGAACTGATGGTGTTTGCCATCCCAGGTTAGTCTTATTGAAATTACTTCCTTCCATCCAACAGGCTCTAAAAATTCTGCTAACTGGTGACCATGTTGGGTAACACTATCCGTTTTGGTTCTTACAGTTTAGGAAGTCATGAAACATTGTAGAATGTTGTCTTGCTCCCTTAAGGTCTGGCCGTCTTTTACCTGGAAGACGGAATGAATGCTACGGCAGATTCTATCAGGGAACATGGAAAGCCTGGGACAGAAAACCCACTTTGTGAGGGTCAGCTTCAATCAGGTCGAAAGTCGCACTAGAGAAGTTGAAAAGCCACCTACAATAGAGTCCTATCAGCTTCTAGAAGGTCTCCAGATACACTATAGGTGGCAAATAATAATAATAAAATAAATTTAAAAAACCTGAGATTGGCTGTGAGGCTTCATCCTCCTCGAGGAAAGTTCAAAACTGCTTCAGAATCTTTTGGGATCTTAGAGGAAGAGGTAAGAAAACTTAAGCTGGAGAGTGTTGGGAAAGTCCTTGGTGTTAGGAATAGATGAATATGTGAAATCTACATCAAGAAAAGAGAATGGTGCAACTTCCACATCTATGGATTTTCAGGCCAATTTCAGAATTGAGGAGGAACTCAGTAATTCTTAATTCCAAGTGCTTATGTACTTATTACATATTTATGTACTATTGTCAAGCACCTCTTTATATTCAAAAGTGAAAACCTTTCTTAGATGTTGCAAAAAAGATACTGACTGTTTTCAAAGCAGTATAGCGTCTATATTGTTGTTTGGGACTGAGTAGTGCTTCCCTTGGTCAGCATGTGACTTGCCGAGAGTCCTTAAGTTCTAGCTGGAAGAGACAGGCAAGGGACAGGCATCTGGAGGAATTCAGACCATTACTACATTATAGCAGCGTCTGATGCCTTTGGGAAGCACCAACTTCCATGTCTACCATCAGGCTTTAGCAACATTGGCCAGCTAGCATTTCCTGACACCACACTTGTATCTCTGAAAAGAAATTTAATGTAAGCCATTTTCTTCAATATTGAAAATTTCTGTATTTTAAAATAAAACTTTAGGGGACTGGTGAGATGGTTCAGTGGTTAACAGCACTGGCTGCTGCTTCCAAAGGACACAAGTTAAATCCCCAGCACCCACATGGCAGCTCACAACTGTCTGTAACACCAGTTCCAGGGCATTTAGCACCCTCACCCAGATATACATGCAGGCAAAATACCAAATGCACATGAAATGAAAAGAAATAAAAAACCAAGCTATTTTAAAAACCAAATAAAATTAACAAAACAAAACATAAAACAAGGGAACACTATTGCTTTAACTTAATTCTATTTTTAACATGAATTAAAAGTAAAACTATGAAGCCAGCACAGGAAACCAAGTCAATATCAGCAGCAAAACATAGTTTCATCTCATGTTTCGCACTTTTAAGCAAGAGCCTCACTTTTAAATAGCAAACAATTAATTGACCATTTAAATGTAGCAGAGACTGAAAGATTGAACACTGAGTAGTCTGGAAGTTTTGCTTGCTTACCTGAGCTTCCCACCGATCTTGTTAGAAATATATTCTGGATGTTTCCCTTTGCAAAGGGGTGTGGATTTATAGACACACACACCTGACCTACTGCTCTAGCTGCACGGCAACAAGGGTGCTGTCACCTGTCTGCTCACAAACACAGGCTTGTCCAAAGAACTTGGCTTCTTCCCAGTTCTCATGCTCTACACAGTGACAAAGCTCTCCTCATTCTACAGTGAGATCACATGTCTTCACAAAATGACACCAAAAACTTGGTGCTTTTTTTTCCTCTACCATTTACTTTCCAAGGTAATTGGATGTTTGGCAAGATTTCAACACTGTAAGAAAAAAGAAAGGAAACAGAGGAAAAGCCAGCAGGGGTGGGGGACAAATGTAGAAACTGTGTGTACACCATTGTTCCCAGTGAGAGGAGAGGCCTCGAGTTTTGAGGATTAGATACAAAGCAAGTAGAAATTCTTCTAGGTGGCTGGATAACAGGAGTATAATAAAGAGCTAATGGGATTAGACTTTCTTTGTTTTTTCTTTAAAGGGAGAGAGGGGGGAGGGAGAAGCAGGGATGGAGGAGAGAGGGAGAACGGTTTCAAATATTTTAATATTTTCATGATTTGGTTATTCTTTGCAATTTTTTGGTTTGTTTTGGGTATTGTTATATGCTGTTTTTACACCCAATTTCTGAATTTATCTCATTTAGTTTTAGGGAATGGCTGTGTTTCAGTGACTTGCTGTGATGTTCCTGTTAGTTGAATAATGGGATCTCCTGTGTGTTTGTGGGCAAGTCAGCTCACCAGTGCCATCCACGCTGCCAGCCTCTAGTAGGATGACATTGTCATCTTCTAATAGTGGCAAGTTGATCAGAAAGTCTTGGAAGTAAGTGCTGCTTGCTAATGAACTTTCTTCTGGTTATCATTTACTTAATGGCTAATATCTACTTATAAGTGATTTATATTTCTGGGTCTGTGTTACCTCACTCAGGATGACTTTTTCTGGTTCCATACATTTGCCTGTCAATTTTACTATGTTACTGTCTTTTTTAAACAGTTGACTAATACTCCATTGTTTAAATGTAGCACATTTTCTTTATCCATTCTTCAGTTGAGGGACCTCTAGGTTGTTTCCAGTTTCTGGCTGTTGTGAATAAAGCTGCTATGAACAGAGTTAAGCAAGTGTCCTTGTGGTAAGATGAAGTGATCTTTGGGTATATGCCCAAGAGTGCTATAGCTGGATATTGAGATAGATCGATTCCAATAATTTCATATTGGATTATTTGTTGGATCACTCGATTTTTTAATATCTAGTTTCTTGAATTCTTTATATATTTTGGATGTTAATCATCTGTCAGATGTGGAGTTGGTGAAGATCTTTTCCCATTCTGTAGGCTACTGTTTTGTCTTATTGGCAGTGTCCTTTCCCTTATAGAAGCTTTGTAGTTTCATGAGATCCCATTTATTAATTGTTGATCTTAGTGCCTTCATAACTGGTGCTCTGTTCAGGAAGTTGTCTCCTGTGCCAATGTGTTCAAGGCTGAGCTCTATTTTCTTGTCTATCAAGTCCATTGTCCCTTGTTTTATGCTGAGGTCTTTAATCCATGTGGATTTTAGTTTTGTGCAGGGTGATAGCTATGGATCTACTTGCATTATTCTACATTCAGACACCTGGTTAGACTAGCACCATTTATTGAAGATGCTTTTTCTTCCTAGTATGTATTTCTGGTTTATTTATGAAGATTCAGGTGTCCACAGGTGTGTGGATTTATGTCTGCATCCACAATTCAATTCCCTTTGTTTTTATGCCAATAATATGAGTTTTTATTACTATAACTCTGTTTCTCTTGGGGGGGGGTAGAGAAAGTGTTTCTCTGTGGCTTTGGAGGCTGTTCTGGAACTAGCTCTTGTAGACCAGTCTGGTCTTGAACTCATAAAGATCTGCCTGCCTCTGCTTCCTGAGTGCTGGGATAAAGGCTTGCACCACCACTGACTGGCACTACTATAACTCTGGAGTACAACTTGAAATCAGGGATGGTGAAACCTCTAGCAGTTCTTTCATCGTACATGATTGTTTTGCTATTGGTGGTGTTGCTTTGTTTTTCCATATGAAGTTAAATATTGTCCTTCCAAGGTCTGTAAAGAATTGTGTTGGAATTTTGGTAGGAATTGTATTGAATTTATAGATTGCTTTTGATAAGATGGCAATAAACATGGGAGAGCTTTCCATCTTTGGATATCTTCCTCAATTTCTTTGTTCACAGACCTGACATTTTTTTTGTTTTGTTTTGTTTTTTTGAGACAGGGTTTCTCTGTGTAGCTTTGGAGCCTATCCTGCCACTCGCTCTGAAGACCAGGCTGGCCTCAAACTCCAGAGTGCTGGGATTAAAGGCATGCTCCACCAATGCTCGGCCAGACCTGACATTTTTATCATACAA